TTCCTCCCTTTGTTGTACGTCATCGGCCTTCTGCCTCGCTGTTTTCGCATTTCCCCCTTTTATCGCTCGTTCTATTGTTTACTCTCTTTCTTCGCCCCACCTTTCACGCTTGCTTTTTTTTCTGTTGCTTGCTCTCTCTTCTTCTCCTTCCTACCTTTCCTTCTATCCTCTTCTTTCTCTATTTTTTCTTCTTGTTTCTCTTGCTTCCGGGTTTGTGGCTTTCGTTATCGGTATTTCTATTGCTTTCTCTTTCTTCTCCTTCCCAACTTTCCCCTCTTTCCTCTACTTACGGGCGTGTTGCTTACTGTTGGCGGAGAGGTGGTGGTGTGTGTGTGTGTGTGTGTGTGTGTGTGTGTGTGTGTGTGTGTGGTGTGTGGTGTGTGTGTGTGTGTGTGTGTGTGTGTGTGTGTGTGTGTGTGTGTGTGTGTTTGTGGTGTGTTTTTAGCGTGTCCGGGCGAGGCGACGTACACACGCTCACATGCGCTGGAGAGTACTTTCGAGAAAACGCGTCTGTACCCGCACGCCCTTCGCTCTTTGTCTTCTGTGAATGAAGTCTGTCGTCGGTCGGTGTTGTGTTGTTGTGTTGTGTGGGGCTTCCCGAGGGAGTGTGCATGCGCGAGTTGTGGGTTTGGTTGGGAGAGGGGTGGGTGGGTGAGGGGAGAGAAGGGGGGGGAGAGGGGGAGAGGGAGAGACAGGCAGAGAGAGGGAATAAAGATGAGAGAGAGAGGGAGGGAGAGAGACGGGCAGAGAGAAAAAAAAATAAGGATGTGTGTTTATGTGACTGAGTGAGTCAATGAGTCAGTGAATGAGAGTGAGAGTGACAGAGACAGACAGACAGGCAGACAGACAGGACAGACGACAGACAGACAGACAGACCACACAGACAGACACACAGACACAGGCAGACAGACACACAGACACGACAGACAGGCAGACAGACACACAGACACAGGCAGACGACACACAGACCACAGACAGAACACAGACACAGGCAGACAGACACACAGAGACACAGGCAGA